ACTGTCGTCCCTGTGGCCCAGTACGAGAAAACAAGGGAAGCCAATCGGCCGCAACAAAAGCGTATTCAGGCAAAACAGGTCAGAACAAGTTATTCTCACAAAAAGACTATGGGGTATTTATTCGGTTCGCTCGATGGGCAGGCGTCAGCGAAATGACTAATCAGATATGCCGAAAAATTGATTGTCACAATGCGCGCTTTCCTGACAGTGGCGTGGCAAATTGTGCTAAGGGGTCTTTCTGTGTTGTCTCGGGAATTGAGGCATTCCCTACACTCCAACAACCTCCTGCTTGTACAGCAGCTTACCTATCTCACCAGATATTATCAGAAATTGTGAAATGGGTTTTCAATTAGAAAGAGTTATGAAGGTGGTGCTTTTACTAATGCTTATTGCGCACCGTAGTCCTGGCATATTTTTATGGGTAATCGTAGCATGAGTAGTGTACTTTTTGATGTGATGATATTAAAGAATGTACCTCAGTGACCTCGCCGAAGGTAAGCAAACACCTCCCCCCCTCCAACGGTACATACACATATGTTAGCTCAGGGAGTGAGAAGTGATATACGGCTTACTTCAATTCAGCCCTCAAATAGACCGGCCACAACACAGTCGGTTGTTAATAGCAGCCAGTCACAGGAATTTTAGAATTCTAATATTAAACACTATATATGACTGTTTTATACATTTGTACAGTAATATTATTACCAGATTTTTCTATTATTAATAACAAACGCTTAATGTTACAAAAAGTCTTCAAAAAGTCCACCGTTACTGGGTTTTGGGCTGAAAGATAAAAGTCGACTTTTTCAGATTTCCCAACCTCGATTGGCGCTTGATTTTTTTCCTAAATTTGTTCGATTTACGCGCCTAACGCCGTCACTAAATAGCCGCCGCATTCAACTATTTCAACGAAATGTTACCACTTTTGAATTAATTTTTACAAAGTCCCTTTCTCCTCCATCCATTTTTCCTACCCATAAAACCCCCAAACCCACCAGTTCCGTAAGACAGAAGACCAGGGTTTTTAGTACCCACGGTACACTAAAAAAGCTACTTTTGCCCTTTTAGGTCGCAGAAGTACACCTTGTAAAAATGCAAAAAAAAAATTTGTCGAACATATGACCCTTTTCGATAAATTATCCCTATGCACCTTGGGCGCACGTACGTCAGTCAAATTTGAGCTGAAAGAGGAACAATGTGGACCAATCTCTTTCCTGGACGTGTTTCAGTACCTGACTTAGCGTTTATCGTACGTGTTGCGGACGATGTACCCATTTGGGAAGTTTCGTACCACTATAAGTTGTGAGTACTTTGGCGTGTTGTTTGATACACAGAGAGGACAGAGAAGGACAGCTCGGCTCGCGGC